CAGTATTTTGAGCATGGCACACTGAAACTACAAGCTGAAAATGTCTAACATAGAAACAATCTTTGCAAGCTTTGTATTCAAGAGAAGCCCGTGTTGACGTTCGTGTAACGCAATTTTTTAGCCTTATCTGTTGCTCAACTCAACAACTGAAGCTATTACGCGATGTTCTGTAAATTGTTTATATGCATTTGAAAGCTCTAAGCCTTCTTTACTGAAACTTTCATTTCGGTTTTCTACATCAGATGACTTGCAAAAGTTTTACAGCTTCAAATTTGGAAAATCAAATGAGAAAAAAGTCCATTTTCGACAACTACGTTACGTCGCCTTCCATTAGTCAGAATGTCTGCGAATAAGCTCGAAGAATTTGCTACATGTAAGCCAAGAATGCTCTAGCTTCTACTGCGCTTCAGGAGTGCTGAAACAAAAATTATTTCTGTAAACTTTGAAAAAGTCTTCTTTCTAACGCCTTTTCAACGTTGGTGTTGGGTATCATCTGAAGGCATCCTGAGGGAAGACGTAGGCGAATCATCCAGAAGAAACAGAATGGATGATTTGTGGGTTGAAAATTATCGAATTCGTAGGTTAAATACTCAAAATCGAATTTTGGGAGCCACACAGCCTGGGTACTCGAGACGGCGAACATCGGCGAACAAAGTCTTTCCTTGCCGGCTTTGAAAAAAATGTCATTATGTAGTAGGTGGAAGGAAGGGAGCATGCGTAAACAGTGACAGAATAAGCGTAAAAGTCTAATAGATTGTTTTGGCTTTTGTCAAGCTTGTTCAGTAAGTTTTACCGATAGAAATCCAGAAAAATTTGGAGGAAAAAGGATGTCGAAAATTGATTTTTCGGCACTTTGGGTTTTTTGTTTCAATAATAAAATTCTTTTCAATTTCCCGCTATGTTGGGGAGTGATGCATTTGAGCCTGCAGAGCAGACTTAGAGCTTTAAACAGCATATATGCTTTATCTCAAATATAGTCAATGTTGTCAAGAAAAACTAAAACAAAAAGTGGGACAGAACTTATTACGCGACCTAATATATCACTCAGGAACATGTGCGCCACCACTCCAACAGATAATGAGGTTCGACTCTAAGAATCCGAAAAGAGATAGAAAGTTTCCTAGCTTAGCAAAAAAATTAATCTGCTTTTGCTCTTCATTTACTTTGTTCATCCATTCAACTTCAATTCACACGTTGCCTCTGTTGTATAAGTTTGTAATGTAAGCATTAGACTTCACAAAGAGTTTCATCGCAAACAATTCAAAATTTTAAATGTTTTAATAAAATCATATTTCCGTGATTTGGACGCGCGTCCTCTATACAGTCAAAAGGGCTTGAAAAAAATAACTGTTCTCGTCTAAGGATTGTTTCATGCAGCAGTCGATTGGCTGCCCTGCTGCAGACCATTGGCTGCAGCGAATGCAGTATGAAACATCTCTGCTCATCAATAGACTAGGCTAATCCTAATGGCGACTGTTTGTGAAATCAGTTTTATGATGCATGTCAAAAATGTGGAGAACGTACGATGCCGAACAAGTACAATATTATTCAGGCAGGTAGGCATCGCAACAGAGAATTTTCCAATTCAAGTAAAATGTACTTATTGTTAGAAGCAGATAATTTCCCGGATAGAGTCTTAAAATCTAGAATTGTTGAATATGTGGACTCTATCCTCTCCAATTCGCCAGCTGTAGCCTTTGACACTTTAAAGACATAAGTATCTTCGCGTAAATCCTATGCAGATACGAGAAAAAGCAACTCACCGCAAGTACGCCATGCCCTTCTTTGAGAAGACGTCAGTGTTTATCATGCTGACACAGGTTATTTTTACCTTGAGAGATAAATTTTGATGAATACGAAATTATGCCTTGAGGTAGCTTCTCAAGAATAACTTATATTGCAGTAGGGATCATTCTAATCTCACCAACGCAGCCGAAGCAGCTAGAAAAGTACGTGCCATAAACTCATATATTGTTCATATCTCAGACTCTGAAAACGCATAAGCCGCAGAAAATCATGCAGTAAATGAAATGTGCCAGCTCTGCTTGGACGCTATAGTGCAGCCCACCCGAGGCCTTTGGATGCAATTGCGCTAAAATAACTCAAACCGCGATCCTCGAAACATAAGTTTACTATAATTTTCGTTCCCTGTCAGCCCACAATTCGTAAATTGCAGTAGTAATTAAGGCCACGAGTCGTTCACTACCAGTGCCCACGAAATTGTAGACTCTACAAGTTGGTCACGTACTTGTAGCTAAACAAATACCAATAACATTAATAACATATCACTGTGTATATAAAAATGCAAACGGAAGTTCTCTCTAAGGTGCCACTGAAAGCAAACACACAAACAGCAAAAAACATCACAGCAGGCCGAACCTATGCAACAAATTTGTAAGCAAAAGCTTTTTTAGCTCATGAAAAAAGGATAGGCACCAAACTACGCAGAACATTGCAGTCGCTAGTGGTGAAGGACTATATTTCGCCGGGTGTGGAAGGGTCCCGCGTGGATTTCTTGCAGGAACGCAACTCCGTGCATATGCAAAGGCGTGTTTGTTGCTAATGACCGTGGGGACCGCTCTTTCTCGAAGACATAGTCCTCTACCCATCGCATAGGTGTCTTGACATGTGGAAGTCAACTAGGTATAGTTCGTCTCAATGGAGCAGGCAAATGTTGGCTCAATCGCGTGTCGCAACGGTCTGTGCTGTATGCGTGCTGCACGCGCCCGCCGGGGAGATCGCAAAAAATGAGAAAAGAATGGACAATTTGTGACAGATCACTGCAGGAAACCGCAGACTTGACGCCATGGCAATGCGGACGGGCATCATGTCAACCTTGGCCGGATTCGGAGTGCAGAGTAGTATTTACAACCTGCGATTTGAGAAATTTCCACATAGGACCGCTTTGGGATAAATTACAGAAAACGAGATTGATATGCCTTTCAAAAGTGTCAGGCTGTAATAACCTAGTGGTTCTCTTTGTCTTTCTCATCCGCTCCTCCAGCGGCACCAAGATAGGTACAGCATTGCGAGCATTGCGTGCGAACAGTCCTAAAATGTATATACCCACAGAACGAAAGAAAAAAGAGGGATTAACGGTAAAGAAGTTTACACACCGCTGAGAGTTATGGCATGCTCTGAATGAGCGTCACTGTACATAATGCAAGCTGAGGTAGAATTAACGTACTTTGATGAATACAAAACAGCCTTAAGGTAGAATGTACCCTGAGGTATAATCTACCTCAAGGTTCATATTACCTCACGTAGCTATGATGAGTACGGCCCTGAAGCTTGTGTAAGTTCACAATGTCGCAACATGGCACGATGTGCACCTCTTTCAATTGAAGAGAAAAACTTGCTTGCGAGTTTAGGTTGGTAGTTATGAGTATAATGAAAGAGCTTGATCACAGGCGAAGAGTTAGAACTATTGGCTTTACACCCAAATAAAAAATTTATCATTCAAAAACTTTTAGGAGCCTCAAGGGGCTGTCTCATCGAGTAAGCACAAAGACGATTTCTCTTTGTTACGATTGATTTCGGATAGGAAAGCTTAGCTCGTAGTTGGGCGGAGGAGGTCAGTAAAGCTTGATCATTTCACACGTACACTTGCCAAATTCGACAACGAATTATCAATATGAGGCGAAGAGCCGAAAAATTGAAAAAAGAAGTACGTTTTATCTACGTTTTGAAGAAAAACTAATGACATTAAGAGGGAAGAAAGGAATAAGATGGGTAGAAGGTCTGTCCGTCTCTTTCTCGCCTAGGTGGCTCAAACTTGTCATGGAGCATTGCGTAAATGAAAATGCAATTTCTGCGTTGAAGGTTTTTCAGAAAGTAGCAAAAAATTGAGTTTTGCTGACAAATGCTATATTTGCTGTCCGCGATGATGCAATAGATAATGAAGAAAGTTATGGAAAAACTGAGTGCAAGAAACCAGCAAAAGAAGACTTGTCTAAAAAAAGGAATTTGACAAAGTGAAGATGCAGCCTTTTGTTGAATGAATCAGAACAGTCCAAACCCCGTATAAAAACGGACCAAATTAATAATCAAATAGCTGCATTGAAATAACGTCGTTGATTATAATGATGTCGAATAAATTTTATGTTTCTGTATGAGAGAATTTTACACTATGTTGTCACTCAGGCAAAATAATATTCTACGATATTGTTTATCGTATCGGCACCACAGCGAAGGTCATTCTCTGGATCTTCGTCTTTTCGTCTTCCCGGTCTAGCTCAAGACCTTTGTCTTCTTACGGCGGTGGCTCTGGCAGCGCAATAGCGGCATTTTATGACAAATCACCCTAGCGATAAGTCTAGATGATACTTTGTGATGCATTTCAATAATTGCTTATGTCTCTATCTCGAAAATCTTCCATTACGCCGGCCTAAAGCGCATGAATTGTCATTTTAGGAAGCATGTCCTACGTGGGCTCGAAAACGACAGATCGCTTTGTTATACGACCCCTCTATGTGGGTTCTTGAATTTTTGACATTCTTTATAGAACATGACTTACGCGCAGTAGTCAGTGTTCTTCTCTTAATCATTTCTATAAGGAAAGTCTCCGCTTTGTAAGCGGAGCTTCCTACAATTCTGCCCTCAATTCTCTCCTTTGGAACTTTCGATATCTACAAGCAATCAGCAAGCGATAGCAGTTTTTTTATATGTTACATACAGTTTCGATTCCCTCCAAACGGCTCATGTATTCTTTCCTGCTAACGGCCATGAGCCATAAAGAGCGATAACGATCATCTACAATTGCCGCTAGATCAAAGCTCGCAAACCTCTTCTCAGATGAGGTATACATACCTACTTCCAGCTTGACAATCCTGTTAACATAGGAATATGAATCTGTGCCGAGTTTCGGAATGCCCACATGGTTACGGTCTATGGTACCCCTCGGCAGTCCTTTTTTAATCAAGCACGGTCTTCTCGCCAAACGGGATGATGTATCGTGTCAGGAAGCAAAAGGGCGGCTGTTATGATGAAACCAGTCAACTCTAACAACTATACGAGATATATTCGACTGGATACATCAAAGGACCCCAGCGTATATTTGAAGCGACCTGCTCGCAAGCACCCTTATAGTAATTGCCAGCTGTGGCGCGGTCGTCAGCGGGCGTGCCTGTAAACGAATCTCTCTCAAAGAAAAATAGATGTTTTTTGATTTACCTTGAGGTATCTCTAGAGAGACCAGCTTCCATTTCTGTAACGACTGGAAAGAATCCCGCCCGTATAAAGCGGTATCTTCTTCTGAATTGCTCGTAATCGAATACATCAAGGAGCATGTCCAATCGCGATAAACGCGGGGAAGAGGATCAGCATTGTCCATCAATTTGTCAATAGATTTACGCATAATAAGATCCATATTTCTGTAATATACCTTGTCCTATTCCAAGTCGGTCACGTCTAGGGTTTTTACATATGTTTATGCACAAGCAAGAATTCGTTTCTGTTGTGTACGGGTTAGCGGGACATAAAGCAGACAGTATATGAAAGTTATTGTAAAACAAATTACTGGTTATTTCAAATCCATTTCTGTGATAGTGGATTGGAGTTGATTTTTCTGACTAGATGAACAGTGGCGGAATATTAACTTGAGCTCACATGAGTATTGCAGATCATTGGAAACTTGGAGAAATTCCTCTCACTCCGAGTAATTCGTATTGTATATAACTATTTCAATGTATACGTTCAATACGTGGCTATAAAAATTTACGAAATGTTATAAGGAAGTTGACTTAGTCAGATAAATTGAGTTCACATATCGTCCCCTCCGCAGATCGTGCTACCCTTGGTCTGCGTCTTAGACCTGCCACGTGTGGCTAACATGTTGGCAACGTGGCAGCAACATGTTTGCAACATGCCATAACATGTTGGCAGAACATTTTGGCCACGCCAACATGTTGCTGCATGTTGCCAATGTGTTGCTGCCAACGTTGTTAATGTGTTAGTCACACGTGGCACGTCCGCGACGCCACAAAGGTAGCACGATCTGTGGAGGGAAACGATATCTTAGTCATCTTAGAGTAAGAAGTTTTTCTTTTTTTTTCTAATCATTCTCAACTAACTTTTATGATTTTCAAATGGATTTTTGAGCGATTTGAAAGCCAGTAGATTTGATAGTGAATTGGCTTTCACGAGGAAATTTTTTGATGTTTTCCAAAGCATTACAGAACTGCTTGAAAACACTTTTAGGGCTTTACAAAAGAGATAAAACTATTTCCACTTGTTCATCGCCCTGAACTGGGCTAAGGAACACGCACTCAAAAAAAACGAACTCAAAACAAGTGAGTAAGGTCTTAGTCTTCTATAAGTGATAAAGGTGAATCACCGTCACGCAAGAGTTATCAGCCTATCAATCCTTATGTGGATTTGATCGTGAGCACATAAAAGAGTTGAGGAATGGTCTTGTCATAACGTGTTCTCTATCTCTCGTGCTAGTCATTCGAGGTAGGCTTGACTACCGTAATTTCGAGCACGATCTAACCGATCGAATGCAAATCTGAGTCTTCTGTTGACGACTGAGTGAAAAGATTGCTGACTTTGACCTTCCAGGCTCTGAAGAAGGCGAAACCGCCGAAACGTCGGCCAATAAAAGCTCCTAACAATCTTGCCTCTTTGCTAAATACTATAATATACGAACCAAAACATTTAGAACATCAAAATGGGTTTTGCTGGGAGTAAAATGGACTTTTAAGTCCATCTAAAATGGCAGTAAATTCCATTTTGCCCCATTCTAAATGCACTTTTCGTGTGATTCTCTCGCAAACGACAGCTCAGGTAGAGTTGCATCATTTCATTACAAAGCTTCATAAAAAAAACGAAAAACGCGAACGATAGCAGACCCCGATTACAGTTTGTCCCAATCGGGATCAGGCCGAACCGCTGGCTGAATTTGCGCGCTCGCGGCGCTAGGGGTTTGCGCTGCATACGCGCGCTGTCGCGGAGAGCGAAGAGATGGAGGAGAGAGCAGACTAGCTAGCCGCAGAAATGGGTCGAAACCCAGCGACGCGGACTCCCGCCATGCCAATTTTGGCCTGGTTAGGATTGGGGCATACTGTAGTTTCTTTCGCGAACGAATGAAATGGGGTTTGAAAGTCCATTTTCCTCCACTGTGGAGGAAAATGTTTTGTTTCGTGGACATTATTCCTGGAGAGCCAACTGATGTGATTCAGAGAGATCGTATTCATTTTCTTCACATAATTCTTTCACACTTTTTACATAACCTTAATCTGCATCCAACGCTACAAACTAGCTCCTTAATAAATTCGAACCTCTTCCTCCCGCTTAGTTACAGCCCTTTAAAAATCTTGAATGACAGCGGAATCGTGCTTCAAGTGCAGGTAATGAACGCTGGACACAGCATGTTGCTTATTCGGAGAACACAAACATCAATGATTCTTTCTATCGCCCTGATTGTTGTTTTTGTGTTCTGGTCTAATCCTTGTTACACATGTTTGATTCATTCATAAATGTGTCGGGGATGTCGTATTCTTGTTGCGAAATAAACAGTAATTTCGTTGCTCCAGAAGTTACCAAAACCATCTCGTGCCAGCCCTAGTGGGAACCACATTATAAGTGAACACAAAGCTTCTATGGATTTGCTTTGTTTGAGCTTACGAACAGCTATGCACAGGAGGTGATTGACGCCATGTGAGATCGGGTCTGCAACCTCTTGAACAGCCTTTTGTGCCAATCAGCGCTTTGAAATTGCAGTATACGTAGTTTAAATGCATACAAATGAAATGAAAACAAATGAGATAGCCACCACACAACAGAGGTAGTTATGTCAGCTTGCGTAGAGTAGTGAGTTCTCGTAATTCAGCGAAAGCGGTATCTCTGAGTAAAGTGACATGTCCCTACCGCTTGCAAAAAGCCTGCGGCAATGATGCCATCATTTTAGGTAGCAAAAAGGAGAATTGAGCATAATACATTCTCTCTTGTAATCAAAGAAATTGTTAAGGGCGCAAATGAGCACATAAATTTATCATAAAAAGCACAAGATGGATCGAAAGATATAGATGAAGACAGCAAACTTACATTTTCAGTGTTCATTTATAAACATTTGCCGAAACATGCAAGAAAATCATCTTCCCTTTTACATGCTAAATTTTGTAAGCTGTTGCATGAATATGTTTACACATCGACAGACGTGAATTAGCCTTAATTAATGTCGATAACTGACAAAGAGAGTATTTATTGTCCAAGTGGCCATTTCAAACGTCTACACCATTTTGTAGGACTTCGAACTACCAATCTGCTTTCGCTATCTGCCGGGGGCAACACCGGTGCTTCCCGCAAATGTGCCTTCTGTCTAGTCTACTCACACTCAAAAGTGCTTTAGTTGAACGCATGAAAGACAGATCATGATTTGACTTGGATTTCGACTTCATTTCATTTTAAAGAAACTTAGCTTTTTGAGCGCAAAGGCGTTCGACAGATTATAAACTAATCTGGAGTCAGCAAAGCTCCTCATTATGATTCAAAATGGCATTCAGAGACGGCTTGAATTAGAATCTCTTTCCTTGAAAGCACATGATTTTACTGTGAAACTCTCCGAATGGAGCATTACGTAAAGGTGGGTGGAGAACATTAGGTCGCCGAATTTGGAAGAGTCCCACGCGGATTCCCCGCAGGAACGCATGTCCGGGTATGTACAAGGTGCGTATTCGTCGCAAATGACCGCGGGGACCGCCCTCTTTCGGCGACGTAATGTCCTCCACCCCGTAAAGGTTATCAAACGATAAATCGGGTGTTCGTTAACTAGTCGTATTGACACTGAGGACAAACTTTTGCTTATGGCCAGCACTTAGGCTGAGACACTGATGTTTATACAGACAAGTTTGTAACATTTTGTTGAATCATACTCTTCCCAAGTCTAGTTGATGCTGCAATATCTCGGCGTGCAATTAGAAAACCATTGTGTTCGAACAACAGCTAGATATGTTTGTCATCGTTTATTCTTCGAGAACAGTTTCGAATTTTGCATTTTACAGAAGTATTAGTAAAGACATTTCAGTGATACTTCCTCTGAGAATATATTCTACAGAATCGTAATAGAGAGAAGATAGTTGAGATAAAGAGACGATGAAAACCGCGAACAATAGAGGTAAAACAAACACGAGGGTAAAGTAGACAAAACCCGAGAGGCTGGGTGGAATTATCGCTTGAAAAAAGTTCAAACACTGAAATGTGTAACGAATGTATCTCGTTCTGCCGTTTACCTGTGTTCGCTTCTCTTACTTCGTTCTTTGCGTAATGCAGAATTTTGCTGTCAGTGGTATGGATTATCAGATTGTTAGAGTGTAAGTCGTTTTAAATGAAAAATTGGAGTATTGAGGTGATCTTGAGTTGAATTTTGCAAACATGTGCAGGCACTAATTGTTGACAGCTGACTATCTTTTACCACTTTTGCATGGAATAGTCGCTTCGGAATCCCAGCAATAGCATCCACGCAGATCGCCCATACACTTGATAATGTAAATACAGTGCCTGGAAAGTGACAGTTGTTTGAGACCAGCCTTAATGAAAGGTGAAGATTATTCAATCGAAGACAGACAAAAGAAGGAAATGTAAACTGAAGTTGCAAACGCAAGAAGATATTGAAAAATTGGGTGCAAGTTTGTTTGGGCGTATTTGAAAAGCCGCTTTTTGTTAGGGGATTGCCGTTCAAAACTCAGAGGTAAGAAAAGCCCCTTTTTCCATTTAATGTTGTAAAAAGAGTTTTTTTCTTTGCCTAAACTAGAACTTGCGTTCATACTTGATCGTTCGCCACGCAGGACTATATTGTGATTGGAAACTAATTCACAAATGACGTTATTTCTCAAATCTTCAAATATAGTTGTCTCTCTCAGACTCCGAACGTTCTTCTTCTGCGAAGTTCTTGAACTTGTAACTTGAGATTCTTGCGGATCTATTGTCACATGATAAAAGCATGATTTCACAGCTGTGTATGTCCTTTTTATACAGACAAATATCAGAGGAGATTTGAATCTTGTAATATACTTCAAGAGAAAAAACATAGATGATATGATAAGTGTTACAGAAAACAAAACAAAGATGCTTGAGAGATTAATGACTACGACAAATACAGGGTGCCCCAAAAAAATGTTAACACTGTTTGATCGTTAATAACTCCCTTGCTTTCAAGTCTTTTGCAGAGCTTTAGGTACCATTTTGTAGAGCGAGGATAAACTTAGATTTACAGTATGGAGCGAATCATCTAACTCTCCCCTTTATTGTAGAATTACGTAGGAAATTTGAAAAGAATTTTAGGCCATTGAAGGCCATTTTCTGCTTCGAAACAGAGCCAAACAAGCCAAAATCTCTTGTACTATGGTAATGCTGCTGATTTCTGATATGAAATTTCCATTTCATTTTGATACTTCCTTTCAAAGTTATCCTAGGTAAAGTGTAACAACTGACTTCCCAGCATGTGTCAAAAACGTGATTACACCGTCAAAAAAGCTGAAAACACTCGTAAAAAGTTGTGTAGTAAAATCAGCGTGCGCGAAAACCCTATTGCTCGATTTTTCAGATTTTTTGAAAAAAAAAGTTTGTCAGAGGGCATACTTCACGACGGTTCACATGCTGGAATTTCTTACCGTAATCCTACAGTAATGAAGAGCGAACGGTGATTCGTTCCAAACTGTAAATCTAAGTTCATCCTCGCTCTACAAAATGGTACCTAAAGCTCGGCAAAAGACTTGAAAGCAAGGGAGTTATTAACGATCAAATAGTGTTAACATTTTTTTGGGACACCCTGTACAAATCAATTCAGATACATTATAAAATGAACGAATATAAATTGGTTGAACAATTGAAAAATCTCCATATCCCAAATATATACATTAGTTTTGGATCACTTACTCGTTATTGACGGCCTCCCTGCGCAACTAATATGTCGTTCTGCGGCCATCTTTTAGTGCTCTTTTGGCATCGAGGGTCCTTCGCTTTTCTCGTGCCTTCATGTCGGCGACGTTGCAGAGCGAGCGATGGTGAACGCTGCCGAGAAGGATGAGGTTTTCGAAAAAAGATCATTCCAAGCGCTTGCAGTACCAGCATTCTTTTCCTGCGTAAAGGCACCCTTTTGTAGGGCAGTCAGGTAAGCAAATCGGCAAAGCTCTTTACATCGAATAATCTCCCACCTTCCGCCTCCATCCACATATGTGGGGCAGAAATCAGAAAAATGCTGTTTCATTGCATAATGCACATTTGATTTCTCTAACACCAAGGCTTACTTGCCCAATTTTCAGGTGAGGAAAATCGTGCAAAACTCTCTCGTTCTCGATAATGTCTCGTTCAAGTTCGTCTTCTCAGCCTCTTAAACTCTTCGATTTAGCCGTACGTCCTAACGGCATGTGACGTTCTTTTTCTCGCTGTCTTTCATCGCCTTTTAGCTTTTTCCTTGGTTCGTTGACTTGCTCCAACTGCTTTTAGACTTACTCCTTTTCTGTGGGTAACTAATCGATGTCTTTTTTCTGTCGCATTATCTCGCATTCCAATCGATCAATTGCCTGTTGATGCTGACGCTGCTTTAACGATTGTCCAGTGAAAGGCGCGGGGTAGCGAGGCTGTGCGCCAAGTGGGTTCCCAGATGAGCAGAGGAGAAACGTTAGAGAATGCAGTGATTTGGTGGTCGGAAAATTCTGCCGAGTTCAAATTTTGCAATTGGTTCTTCTTAAAAAGTATGGAAAAGTGACGTTGCCGAAACCGAAAACTACCTCTGTAACAAAGGGAGTGTCTAGTGGAATGGATTGGTTTCACCCTCAGGACTGAAAACTAGCACAGAGAGATGAAACAGCGTTTCGAGTCACTAACGAGTGCGACCTTCCAGGCTTCAACGATGGTGACGGCACCGAAATGTTAGCCTCACTAATAAAGGGTGCTACCAATGCTTATCGGCTCAAGACATGTACATGTTACAAAAAATGGCATGTACAGGGACAGATAGACAGACATGTACACTTATCAAACGCAGTGTCGCTGCATCAGCATCCCTCACTCTCGCGCTGGAGTCTGCGTCTTTTCCGCTAACCTGCTCTCTAATCACTTCAATCGATTGAGGCTCCGCCTTTCCCACGCTCGCCCTGGGAAAGTGATCAGAGAGCATGTTCGCGGAAGAGATGCAGAGTTTAGCGCGGGAGTGAAGATGCTGATGCCAGCGACACTGCGTGATAAGCCGTGTATTTCAACTTCGCTGACAGATTTCACGCCCAAACAGAAAAGACTTTCCCAAAATGAAAGCTTTTTTTAGCATCGGTCTCTGCAATTTTTCCTGCGAATAAAAGGAAAAGACCTTTATCTTCCACTAGATGGCGGTCTCGGTCTCGCCCGGAAAGTAGGCTCAAGTAGTCCGGTGAAGGATCCAAAACGTGTACAAACTGCAGACCTAACATGCCTTCTCCTCTGCACCGAAGCGCTTCTGTGATATTTTTTCCTTGCTGTCTCGAAACACCTGCTCTTTGCTGCTGTAAATGAGCTTTACGCCCTCTTGCATGACTATTAAGCGATCCAACAATAATCGAAAAGCTATTCCCTTAATTTAACTAAACAGTTAATAAATCGACTAGAGCCCAGTGAATCGTTGCAAATAGTAGCCTATTTTTTCGCGCCGTGTCCCATGTCGTATTTATAGGAGCGAATTTCAAGTTCATCAATTTACGAACAAAAAATTTTATAACCCACATACAACTTCAACAAAATTACGGAGTTTAAGTTTTATCTATGTATAGATTTAAAATATCCAGAATTAACACAAATAACTGCTCTCATTTTATTTTTTCAGCCATCGATAGCTCATAATGCATGATTTCTACAGAAGTAAAGTACTGTATTTTAGCGATTTCAGCGAATTCTACAAATAACTCTATCGCAAATCTATGTGTATCAATCTGTGTTGGAAGTTTTACCTTAAAATTACAATGCGAATCACCGATTACTATTCGTTAGTACAGGACTACGGTAAGAACCTTGAAGAGTATGATTTTCTAGAGGACCATCATTTACGTCGAAGGGAAATAATCAATTTGAGGAATTTTGGTTCAAAGTATTGAGAGTAGTTGGCCATAAATTTGAGATTACTTTGTTATAATGCCTCTTTCGATGGTTAGGTCAGGTGTTGTATGTTCCCAAAAATGTGATCACGCCTTTGAAAGGTTTCACAGATTTGTAAAAGCCTTGTGGTAGGTTAGCTTGCTACAAAAGTTTTTGTGTTTCAGATCAGACGCATTTTAGTGGTAGCTACTTTACTATGGCGCTAGAAGTTGGAAGTTCCTTTCGTAATCCTACAGTAAAACACTGCAAATTTGAGTTAAAATTCCTATGAAGGCCTCAAGGCAAAAGAGCTACTAGCTATTAAACAATAGTGGCATTTTTTGGGATACTCTGATGATCTTCATGACGTCTTTTGATAAATTGTTGAGTAAGACTAACAGAGAAAACAAGGCGGTTCATAATTGACTTATATTTTCCTAATACCTGCAGGAAAACGAATTCACAACACATTTGATCCATTCATCCCGTCAGACCATGCTAGCGGATTTTCGCATGCAAGTTTTCAGTCGAGATGTCCACAAAACGCTAAATCGGACAACGAAGTTCTGGTCGTCAGAGGATGTGGCTGTGGACGACGACCTCTTAAGCACTCAGCGCATCAAGGACGTATGATGTGTGTGTGAACAGAGAGTTGTTCACCTCGTAAAGCAGTCTTTAGTCTACTTTCAGTTCTATAGTTCAAAATGTCTGTTGTGGTCCAGACGCTATACAAAAATCTGTTTTTTAAGACCACAATCTAATATCTGCTGTTACAGATGAGTAATCTGGTCCTCATATGCCTTATTCCCTTTGTGTTCAGTCAGCTTTACACACAACCAATAGTCTACTACCAATATCCTTACACTGCAGGTAGAATGCCTTCAACTTTTTTACTTGCTCCATTCTTCGTGTGTATTTACAGCATCGTCAGACCAACAACAGTACGTCTATTCCCCATCGAACCTAGTCTACCAACATGTACCGTATCAGCCGACGCTAGGTCAAACCGGCTACGGTCTACAGGGTCTACAGACACAATATCTGCAACAACCGTACCTGCCATTACAGTACTCCACTTATCAAAGAGGTTTGGGTGGTATAGGTGGGTTGGGTGGACTAGGACAATTGGGGCCGTTGGAGCAACTTGGACAAGGTGGGTTCATAGATTACTAGGTGATCAATTTGAACATTCTCTGTATGAAGGCAATGTTTAACACAAATTGTGCTCGAACTTTTGGATCGTCCTGTTTTTCAAAAAAAATCTATGCTGAAAATCATACATGTTCTGCTGTCAGAGATTCCCTGTTATCTATGAAGGGGTTTTTTTATTAAAAAATTTTTTTCTTGATCATTGAGAGCTTTGTGTTCAACTTTCTTGTTATTTATCAAAAACTCTTTGACTTGCTTTTGCGCGCTTAGAGTGCACATCAAACAAATACATGAATAAAAATTAGTAAATAAATATAATATTTGAACACCCATAATGGATGCCTGCAATTTCGAAACTAAACAATGGGCAAAGTTCTGATGATCTGGATCCTATGCTTTTAGCTCATCATCAAAATATCTTGGCAAAAGAACTAGCCGCTGGATATTTGAATGAATTCCGTGATTCCAGTGGAGCTCTACATCGTTCTGGTACAACCTCTGCTTTACACCTTTATTTGGACATTGGTAACTTAGGGTTTTTAGGTGCAGGTGATAACGAACCATTATCAATCGTGGAACATGCTAGCTATATGAGCCTTATCAACGATAAGGATAATTTTCAGGTGAACTCAAAGTTCTACAAACTGTCAAAAACAGTCGGAATATTTTTAGCCAATCTAGTAGAATCTCTTCAAATTGAGTATGTCCTTGCATGTCAAAAAATCTTACCCTATGCTTCCATTTCATATCATTGGAAGCAACCTTTTCATACATTCATTGATACCCGCTGGTATATTAGCTGATCCACAAAAGAACCGAATAATGATTTGAAGTAATATGCAAGGATAAAATATGCACTTAAAATGTATACAAGATTTCTGGTGATTTTTAGCTTAATTTAAAAAAGTTTTTCAATTTCATTCATGGTATTCCTCCAAGCACAGCATTCCAAAGTAATTTTAGGCATCCGGTTGTGGTTGGGATGCTACTCTAGTGAAATGTACAGATGCTCTTGGCCTATGCAAAGGTGGATGTCGTGATTTTGCCGTTTCCGCATCGGCTACGGTCCATGACTGCAGGCGGGTTTGATTTTTTATCCTCCATTTTATTTTTTGAGAGAACTCTGATGAGCACTCCTGAGCTGATACTGGTTCGAAACTACGCAATAATCAGAAAGCTCATTGAAAGATTACATGTATTAGGTTGGCAGATTTTCCGCTACTTACTCCTTTTTCCCAAAAATCTGTAAGAAACTTTCGAGAATTCCTTGTTCAAGGGGTGTTGATGGGGTGCAAAGATCTACCCACTGGTACTCTCAGATCCGTGATCCGTGCGCAAAGCACACACTTTATCGGTAGGACTACGTTTTATGGACATTTTTATCAAAGGGCTGGCATTCGCCCCGGTTATCAGGAAGAGACCGGGTGATGTGGTAGACGGGCAGGGGATGGTCTATAATTTTTAGCGAACGTCGGAGGATGGCACATCTTGTCACACACAGAGGTGCGATAGTCGGAGCCGATTCTCCGCTTACCTTCACTTTTGAGCTGGTACAGGGTGACCACCTTCACTTTTGGGTTTGAAAATTTTTTTTGCTAAAGCTCAAAAGAAGGAAAGTAAGCAAAAGGAATGTAAAAAAAAGTATTAAGAGCATATATCTATGTGGTAGGTCGATCCAGGCAGTAACCGCCGAGAACCAGAATTTCGAATGATAAAATAATGAAAAATCGTGAAAAATCATTCCACTGTTACAAATCTGCTGGCTGAAGACCTCCGCAGTTGCGACTTCATAGATTTTGAAGGGTAAGTGTTGTTCTACCAGGCAGTGAAAGAATCAGTTTAATTTGAGGAGTGGCCACCGAGAACGAGAATTTTGAAAAACCTTAAAAATCTTCTCAATTTTAGGTTGCTTAATGACAACTGACATTTAAACTCTTATAAATCCAAACTTTGAAGGTGTGTGATGTTGCGACTTCATAGGTTTTGTAGTGTGAGGTTTTCCCTATCAGAATATGTCTTAGCTGTGCCGATCCATTGAAACATCGCCGAGATACAGGCTTTTAAAAAAGCAGGTAAAAAACCGTTTTTCAGCTCATAACTTCTTCAGAACTGCATGAAATATGTTGCGACTTCATACGTTAGATTCTCCTCTTCAAGAGCTTTCAGATGGTATATAATATGTGGGGGATTCTATGTTTTTTGCGGCTCTAACCCGGGGTGGACTACTCCTCTTCACTAATTCTCCACCTCGCCCATTTCAATGTATTGGCGGGAGGCCGCCAGTGGAGAATTAGTGAAGAGAGGTACTCCACCCCCGGGCATATGCCGTGGTAGGCGTGAATCCCCCACATATCATATAGCATTTGAAAGCTCTTGATGAGGAGAATCCAGCCTATGAAGTCGCAACATGAATTATGCAATTCTGAAGAACTTATGAGCTGAAAAACGGTTTTTTACCTCCTTTTTTAAGAGCCTGGATCTCGACGATGTTTCAATGGATCGGTACAGCTAAGACATATTCTGATAGGGCAAACCTCACCTACAAAACCTATGAAGTCGCAACATCACACACCTTCACATGACATAGTGCATTATGTCAACGCACGGTGTCATTTTAAAATGAAGAACGGTTTTTAAAAATTTATAAAAATCATTTCCAACCACTCCTTATCGAATCCTACACGATGCACACAAAAAGAAAAATTTTCGGGCAATTTTTAATTTTTTAAATTATTTTTCACCCCTAGTTTTTGACATGCTAGCGGCACCAAAGTGCTGCCATGAAAGAGGCAGTGCGAAGATATGTTTCAAAATAATTATAAGAGAGAAAAAGTACGATTGCAGCGAAAAGAATCAATGAAAAATGATATATGAGGGTGATTACAAAGTTGTCGTAAACTTCTTAGTTTCTGTGCATTTGCGTCATCAGTACGCCCTGTCAGGCTCTAGGAGCAAATTTGAAGATTCTAGAAAGTTTCTAAAATTTTAGAATTTTATGAAAAAATGCAACAGGAATTATCTGCCAACCTAATACTTTATTTTGTAGTTGGAGTAGCATGGGATAGCGGAAAGATGGAGATGGGAGGGGGGGGAGGGAAAATTTAGCCACCATTATTTGCAAAAAAATTAAGGAAAGGATAATTGTATAATTCTTTCTTGTTTGAAATGCATATGATTCTGGTCATGATCTAAAGTGTTCATTTTCTATTCTCACATATTTTCTTCATTAGATCAAAATCCATCAAGCTATTTAAATAAGAAAAAAGTCGTAACTAGATCCTTCCCATCCCCCCCCCCCATCTAACCGCGAAAATGGGCGATGCTTTCCCGCTCGAGGTGTATTCTATAATAGTAATCACCTGGCGAGTGAAAGTTGACCGTTTACTGTCTAGTTTTTGCCCATTGCTCGCATGTTTTCGCTATGCATTACTGCATTGCTGGATTCCGGATTATCCGGGTGAATTACGGGTTTGCTTCATGTTTATATGCAGTGACTCATAACCCGAAGGTCTGGAATTAGGGCAAGAGTTAATTAAGTTCGAGAAGAAAGAGAAAGAAATTAGTGATCGTCGTGAGAAGAATAGTCACTCAATAGGGTGCGAGAGTTTAAAAGTTTTTACCACAGTCTGAAAAGCGGGCGGCAAGAGTGGCTCCATACAAGAGTAAAAAATAGCTCTATTATTATAAGCGATCCTAGTTTTGATAGCCAAGGTGACAAAAAGCATATCTGCACTAGAAATCGTATTGTCTCAGTCCAAAGCGACTAAGCATTCATTCAAAAAGTTTATTTTGATTTTTTTTGATTCGTGCTTTCCTCGTAAATGAGTGTAGATTAGTGCTGGTTACTGTGTGACATGCTAAAGTAGGTTTATACCGAATCATTAGTTCATAATGTGCTGTGACAAATCGCTCCAAAGAGAACTATTCAACATTTGAGGCACAGCAGAAGGGAGGGCTAGAGAAAATTCCGTGTTTAGAGGATAGTAAGTTGATCTACAAATCCAAATATCGAAATATAGGGTTCAACAGTTTTCAAGGAAGTAGAATCTGTACTTCCTTAATATTGAATTAAGATATAGTACAGTGTAGATACATAGCTATCAACTATGAGGTTGTCATTCTTTTAGCCAATCGGTGAATGAACTGATTTTGACAGATTTTTGGCTTTCATTCCTCGTGACTGCGATATTTCCAGGTGCATTCCATATGGCTATGCCGCTCTTCTGAAGCTACTCGGCAAGAAGTGACCGCATTCGGAAACACCCCGGAGCTCTTCTTCCCGCTAAAATTACTCTGGATACATTTTGGGCCACTACCCTTACTTGTAATAATATACTCTATTGTTGATAAGCAACTGATCCAGCAGCCCTAAAACTATTGTTGTGCAATTGACCTGCCCTAAGCTGGTAACAAACCGATATTTACTGATGTTTGTCCGATTATGTGTTGCCCCGATTTGATGTGTGCTATAGCTCTCGCTTACTGTATTACTATAATACTATATCCAATGTACCGGTTCTTCTCATATGAGCATGTTCGTCGTCTCTCGTAATCCTAAATAAAACCGATCCAACAATCCGCTTTCAAGTTTTTCAATGTTTTTGATGAGTGCCCCTCCGATAACTGGTTCTTTATACTATTGTAGCAGTATGTTGTATATTGTGACCACGAGAGCTGCAATGAGAAACAACAGAGGAAGCTTAGCGATTAATGGAGCCCATGGCAAGGGGAAGGAGGGGGAGGACTTCAAGAATTTGCTTAGATTTTACCTCTTAAACTGTTACCTTTCCGAGCTTCCCGCATAATGCATGGGAAAATGCTATCCTTTACTTTTGACGGGTTCAAATCAACTGGAGCAGCAAATTCCTCCTAGTCCTGTTCCCTCGATCACCTTTCGCCTCGCTCCAAGGATGAATGGGAGTTCGCAGCGACCAGTTGCTGGTGAATTGCCAAAAATTTTGCGCATTTTATTGGGGTCAGCCGATCTGGTCTAGAAGTTCCGACGAAATTGCTTTGTCGCAGGCCGTCCAGTTGGTTATAAATACTGTGGAAAAAAGACGTTGAGAAATATTGATATTGCATTTCAAGCTGTGAACTTTGAAGTTCCTTATTGCTATGTGATAAACGGGGGAAAATTAGGTAAATCGTGTGAAGTATAGCTACAGAAACTGACGAAGGATCCAAACAACATCTCCTTTCCCCGAATCCTGGGACCGAAACTGCTGCACAGGTATTGAATGTGAAGTTTTATGAAAGAGATCGCCCTCTAGGCTCATTATTGATCTTCAATCACGAGTTTGTCGACCGGGTGATCGATGGAAAATTTTTCTTAATACCGAAATATAACTATTCGAAACTTGGTGGTAAGACAGCCTTAGATACCTTCAATACCCTTTGCGGGATGCCTTTTGGCAAGATTATTTACATAGGAAAGATTGCAGCTGGAACAGAGATGAAAATTGAAATTTGCTCTCAAAATCTTTAAGAAACGTATATTAGACCACCTATCATGCAAAATGTTTTGCGTTCATTGTATCATTTGAAACAGAATTAGAAAAGCTGTTAGAAGCGCCATTCAGCGTGGACTTTTGTAAAATACAATTTTTTGGGTCTCTGGGCAGTTTGAACTAGATTTCAAAAGCGCTAGCAAAATATTGGCGTTCATCAGCTTTTGAAGCAATATGCCAGAATTAATACAACTACTAGGAATCTTATAACTTCCTTCATCTACTATGAAATGATCACATTGAAGCCGGCAGAAGTTATGAATTTGGAAATATTTACAGGCCAAAAACCCAAGCGAAAAGTTTCTCTTTTTTCCCCAAAAACAACATAGTTGTTTGTATTCCTGGCCTCTTTGTTAATCGCTTCTGAAATCAATAACTTTAACGCGGTGCGAATTGATTCCCAAATCTCTGTCAGCTTGTTTCTCCTCTTTTTTCTCTTTCGTTTTGGGTATCTGCAGTTGCACATACTTTCGAGTACTGCAAATGATGCAATTAAATATTTTTTCCGAACGCATAAATCTCTAACTAGTAGTACGGGATGGAAAGTGAGTAGCGAGGGATTATTCAAATAGCTTGCGTTCGTTGGATCATCGACGAACTCCGCCTACTGCTCTATACACTGCCATAAAAGGCAGCGATCGCTGTTCTTCACTAGTCTGTTTATACTTTCACTCATTCAACCTACGCAAAATTACACTAGGTTCGTTTCACCTGCTTTGTACTAATTTGGTCTATCTACAGTGCTGGCCAAAATTATAGGTCCACTCTAAAAAATGCCATAACTCACGCTGTTATGAATGAAATTTTCCAAAATTTGGTAGAGACGTGTGTTTACCAGCCTACTATCAGCCTTCAAAACGGTTCTCGTTTTCGTTTGATTATTCAAGAAAAAATCAGAAATTTCGACAAAAGCAGGCTTGAAGGCTGGCCAAAATTATAGGTCCACCTGGAGTTTTTACTGATTAAAGCACTTCTTAGCTCCCGAATTTTTTTAGATAGGCACACATCCAAAAACGTTAAACAGCTGCATTGATCAAGCTGTGTCATACCTCCAAAAAGAACTGATTATCTGCTTTTTTGCCTTGAAGATGCACTCACATGTATTCCGCTCCACAAACCTGCGTTGAGTAAGAAATTCTGCAGTTTCTCAGCTGGATCGGAAGGAATGGGGTTTCATCTATCTTCTGGATGCTTTTTGACGTGAGCATTGAGGAAAAAATCCGACTTTTTGCTGCTGAAGCAAATCTGACATTGACAGTACTGCAATCCTGGGCTCAAATTTCTGCCTTCAAACTTCTTTTACAATGTCCTCAGAAGCACTGAGTAAAGTAAAAGCATTGTTTCTATGAAGGGGAGTCCGTATACCATAGTTACAACTTTCTAGAGATCCTAGCATTCGAGTATAATTACTGAAATCACTCTGCAGAAACTGATTACGACAAGCACCAAAGCTTTTTGTGGCCCCGACCAAAATTTTCAGAAGAATCATGTGCTAACAAGCTGTATCCACCATCTAGTAAATAATTAATGTCAAAAGTCTAAGTGAGGTAGCACTTGGAAAGCTATTTTGGATCGCGTAACACCATTATTACGTTGCACACACAACTCATGTTTCGAAAAAGAAGCAAGGCAGCTTTGTGGACACTTGCGAGTATGGCAAACAGCTTTATTCTTGTGTAAAAAATGCTTCTGCATTATCTTGAGGTTATAATGACAATGCATAAGGGGTTTAGGGCAGAAACTTAGGCTTACTCTGCCGATTAAGCCGATGTCAGATTTGCTTCAGCAGCAAAAAGTCGGAATTTTTTCCTCAATGTTCACGTCAAAAAGCATTCAGAAGATAGATGAGACCCCATCCCTTCCGATCCAGCTGAGAAACTGCAGATTTTCTAACTCAACGCAGGTTTGTGGAGCGGAATACATGTGAGTGCATCTTCAAGGCAAAAAAGCAGATAATCAGTTCTTTTTGGAGGTATGACACAGCTTGATCAATGCAGCTGTTTAACGTTTTTGGATGTGTGCCTATCTAAAAAAATTCGGGAGTTAAGAAGTGCTTTAATCAGTAAAAACTCCAGGTGGACCTATAATTTTGGCCAGCCTTCAAGCCTGCTTTTGTCAAAACTTCTAATTTTTTCTTGAATAATCAAACGAAAACGAGAACCGTTTTGAAGACTGATAGTAGACTGGTAAACACACGTCTCTACCAAATTTTGGAAAATTTCATTCACAACAGAGTGAGTTATGGCATTTTTTTATAGTGGACCTATAATTTTGGCCAGCACCGTATAGTTTTAATAATATTTATTGTTTTGTACTGAATGAATATGCACTTCAGAAAAAAATGGGAACGACAAGTATTATATGGATATTAACGACACTATCTGCTTCGGTATTGTATGTTTTTTGTTTTTCCATATGGGACCGTTATAAGCGAATCGTTTCAGGTCAGCCCCTTATCGGTATGGTGATGCTGGAAGTATGATGGGTTATGGATCATATGGTAAGCATGTAAATCAAAATTCGTGCAAAATGCATTCGTGCAATCAAATTCATTTTTACAGGTTCTATGGGAGGAATGGGTGGTATGGGTGGTATGGGATCCCCATATGGAATGAGTTCTCCATATGGTATGTATGGAATGGGAATGTGTGAGTCTTGAATGATTACTTTACATAGTCGCAACGGGTTGCTTATTGCATTCTTACTGTAGGATTACGGTGTGCTGTACTCTTACTGTAGGTTTGCAGTGTAAAATCTACTTTGACAATTTTTATTCCTTGATTCTATTTAAGGATCAGTTTAATGCAAAATTCTTCGTCTGCAAATGCTTATAGTAATCTACAAAGTCGAAATTATTGCTAAACATAGGTCTATGATCACCTGTACATCAAAATCCATCGAATGTCGTAAACAACTCCAAATAAACATTGTAATCACCGATTTATCCCTTTCCGCTTCAGCACCCTATGGAATGGGAATGCCGGGCATGGGAATGGGTGGAATGAGTGGAATGGGAGGATTAGGAGGATACGGTAAGTGAAAATTTCCTCAGCTATATTATACTTTTCAATAGCACTATTTTTAGGCTCACCGTACTCACCTGGTGGTCTCTATGGCGGTGGTGGTCTTGGTGGCCTTGGCTCAGGTTTAGGAATGGGCCTTGGGACCAGTTCATACTTCAAAAAGTGATCTCTTGTTGTTTAGATATTCTTTAAGATTGTCTTTCATCAAATGTGATCTTCCAATGTACATTTTCTTCTATTTATTTGCGTCAACTTGGGCAAGTAATAAATTCTCATTTACGTATCCAAATTTTTTAAAAAGAATATCGGATTGATCTGGAGCAATTCAAAGATTTGGATCTTTCCCATTTACTGCAATAACTAAAATTTTAGCATCATTGGTAAAATCAACAATTGCTGGCATGTCTCCATTTATAGTTTTTCAAATCCGTTAGCGGTTGCCTAAAATCAAGGTCATGACAGAAAGAAGCGAAGAAATTTTTCGCGTGATTGTAAGTTTCCAGAATTATGAAACTAATTCATTTATTCAGAACTAGTTGATCTCATTCAAATAAACAATCAACGATTTGTGCCAAAAGTCCGCTGGCAAACCCTATTATACAAGTATCTCACAAAATCTGAGACGTCTTTTCGAAACAAAACTCTTTGAGGGGACTTTTTGCTCCGCCATGTTGCATGTGTCATACTCAGACTGTTATGCCACAGACAAACAACCTTTGCACAAATAAACAGACAAAAAAATAACAACGCTTTTGTGCACACTGTTTCGCTTCATTGCTCAACTTGCTAACCATCTGTGTCATTCTGTGTAAGTTCCAAGAACAGCTGTCGTAGTCCGCTGACTTCAATACGAAAAATCTTTCTTACCAGGACCGGATGCCCTTTCGGTAGTAAACAAGATGTTGGAGTCTAATAGTCGAAGCGGCCTCTCCAGAAGGAACGTACAACACAGTGGAGAGCAAAAAACTCTGATTCCAAATCTGCTTTCCATATCTGTGGAACATTTATGGACGACTACCTAGGAGCGCAAAATTGAATGTGCTTTCAGGATAATTTTAGTTGCTAAGATCTTGCTAGCACTCAAATAAAGCAATCAAGAATGATATATTTATTGTATGTGCTGATTAACGGTGCTCCGTTGAGCTAGAAAAATATTATTTTTATTGCTTTTTACGCCATCTGTCTTACTTGCACGTTCAATTTTTCGCTCCAATATCATACCTTCTAATCTCAAGGAAGGCAGATTTGGAATCAGCGTTTTATACTTTTTTGTATACACTCTAAAAAGGCTACTTCGGAAAAGCATGCTTCCCTTGTAAATGCAACTTCCTCCGTAACTTTTCTCTCTTTAAATATGGCGCGCTCAAGCTTTGGCATTACCCTAAAATCCGTCATATAAGATCGGCTCGCAGTAAAGACCGCCTCGCCGATAAGACCGCAAAAGTGCTCTCAGTTAAGTCCGCTTTCGTGACAGCCTCGCGCGCCTCGCGCGCCGCCAAGTCCCGCGGATAAGTCCGCCTTATTTTTTCACATAAAAACAAGAAGGATGCGCAATTGCGCTGCCATTTTTGGTCTCAGAATGAACCGAAGCAACAAATCTTTATTCAGTTTCCATTCCATGTTTATCATCATCAAAACGTGGCTGACCGATGGTGGTTCTTCTTCTAATGACTAAGTTCCTTTTCATCATAAACCGTTTGCACCACGATTCCGTTGCCTTGAAGTACTGCCGGCCAGATTCCTGCGCTAGCTGCAATGCCTTCGCTCGAATGTCCTCGACAAGCACTGCTCTGCTTGCTTCCCGCCTCTGCACAATCCATGCATAGACAGCTTTCTCGATCTCCTCTACCTTTTGCTTCCCATAACGGTTGGCGCGTTTCCTCAGTGGCATATCCTCCAAATTCTCCTTATCGGCCTTCCATCTTCGAATCAGACGAGCAGAGACTTCGTAGTGAACAGCGGCAGCCGATGTTCCATGTTCCAAGGCATATTGCACCACGTTAAGCTTAAAAAGCGCGGTGTAGGACTTCCTTCTGATAGCCATTGAGATGCGAGACACCTGGAAAGCTTAAGTCAAAGCATGTGAGACTATGCTGGAAATATAGGGCCCCGCGTGATTGTGAACTTCGCTGAGTTACCGGTCATTGCACACTGGAATCACGCGGAGTCCTATAAATTTGCGCTGGTCATCGAAAGGTTTACTCTTTTATACAAGGAAAAGCAGGCGGCATCAAATTTGACTACACTATCTTTTGTCTTGGATGTACAGGCTTAATGAAACAACAATTGAGGAAAATAACAAGGAAGCCTAATGCTTGCCAGACTGTCACTCTTCCGTTCAAGAAAGCATTTGACAAAAGCCGTATGGCATGGGTCAACAGAGACTACATTCAGAACATGAAAACAATAGAGGAAGCAAAAGTGTAGGAGTCAGGTTCAAGGGTTGTAGCCTGTACGGGTTCGAGAGATGTAGTGAAAACATTGTCGCCTCCAAAACGATAAGATGAATGATAAGTTGAGATGATTGCAATGATGCAATGATGAAACCTATTATGATTCTTTTCATCGGCAGAAATCGCTCAATTTCGTACAGGTGTCATATATAGGAAAAGAACTCACCTATCCAGCGTACGCGATGAAGAATCCGAGACGACCACCAAGTAGACTGTACGACTTGTCGAATCCTTGAGCTCTTTCTTTCAGGCGATATCGCGGCCTCGTTTAAATCTACACTGGCAAGCCACGCGAGCGGTCGCGCGCGTCTGTGCTCCTAGGTCGCGCTTGCTCATGCTCAGGACAGACGGACGTATCTGCGAGACGATTTAGGCGGACTTATCTGTGACACCCTTTGCGGCGTTTTTCCATCGATTTTCCTGCCAAAACTGCAGATAAGTCCGCTCTTATATGACGGATTTTAGGGTATATAGAAATGTGGGCTACAAGTGAGCAAAATAGAAATATTTAAGCCTCTCTAAAACTACTGAAATTCGGGATTTCAGTGGATTACAAGTAAGTCTGAAGTAGTTCACAACCTGAATCAAACATATCGACCCAGGGCTAGCGCAGATTCATTGTCAGAGATTGGCTGTTGGGCTTTGTAAGAAAGTAATAATAGTTGAAGGCTTTTTGGAGATTTGGCGTCCACGCAGAGTTAAACAACGCAGCTACGCAAAATAGAAAATAAAATACTAGCATCTGTTAACAATACTAAGCGAAATCTCAGGTTTTCGTACCTTATATTATAGCGTAATTCTACTGAACACGACAATCATATTCATTTGCCGTCGACTGAATTGTTTTCTGTGACTTACCAAAAAGGCATTTTCGTGAAAATGAGGATGATTTTCGAAATCAGAGTTTAGAGACACCCCCCCCCCCTCCCTCCCCCAGGCAAACTTTCCGCTGAAACTGTAAGCGATCTGGAATAATCAGTAAATTTTCTTCCTTTTACCGCACACCTACCGTAATCCTTACACGCTTTGCCAGAATTTGAAACAAATTGCTGTATTTGTACATCACATCATATTCTAAAGATTATCAACGTTTGAGTATAGCATATGCAAAAAGAAGAAAGTATGGAAAAAACTGCAAAACTTAGTCAACAACTTACAAGGGAACCGTGTCGAGTCGAAGTGGCCTTTCCAGATGAAACCCATACTGCATTGAAGAGTATTAAGCGGTGATTTCAAATCTGCCTTCCAAATCTGCCAAGCGCCTCTGGACGCCGAGTTATGACCGTTCTTCGAAACGAAAAATGAATGCAGAATTTAGGTAAAATTGATTGTTACAATCTTTCCAGCGCTCAGATAAAGCAATGTTAAGTATTAGCATATTATATAAAATGTATCCATTGCATAAACAGCTCTGATACTTGACACTGGACCATTTGAGCAAATTTGGGCGATTTTGCTTTAGTTTTGCCTTCAATTTTTTGACCTGAAAAACGGCTATAACTCGGCGTCCAAGGGCGCTTGGCAGATTTGGAAAGCAGATTCGGAATCACCGATTAATGCTCTTCAAAGCAGTATGGGTCTCATTTGGAAAGGCCACTTCGACTCGACACGGTTTCCTTGTTAGTAAGAATGAGTCCCAACGAAAGACGGGAACCCGACGATATTCTGTGGAGTTCTTCCCAAAAGGCATAAACTTTTGTTATTAGAATCTGCTTCATTAACACTTGTTCATCTTGGGTCTCTTAAAAATCACACGCCATAATTTTGAAATAGTTCAACCTAAGCATGCTGTGATGTTTCCTTTCGTAGCTAGAATACTTCAGAATGTGGTCATTTGATATCCTATTGAAAAAAGCCTTGATAAAAGTTTACCGATAAAAAAGATTCAAAAGCTCAGAACCGAATTTCAGTACTCCGACTTTGAGCTCAACGTGCATCGACAATTACGCGAATGTCTCCTGAGCTTATTGAAGCAGGAATCTGGTATCCTTACCGAAGAAATAGCAAAGTCGATTTGCAGCAAAATGGAAGAGGTGAAGTCTAGCAATTTTGCATAATTTTTCCTGCCTCACCAACTTTGGCTCTGCACTTAAAGGCAGCGTCCAGGCAGATCTGGACCTATGGGGCTTTTACGTGGAAAGTACTTTTGGGGCCCTAACTAAGGCACTGCCCAAGTGGCAACTCAGTTAGTGCTCTAATGGCTGAGATATTCCCCTCGAAACGGGCCCCCGCGAACGTATTCGCATGGATTCATGGCAGTTTCGCGCCAGAATCCACGCTTTGCGCCATGAATCCATGCGAAACACGGTCGCGGGGGCCAGTTTCGAGGGGAGTATCTCAACCATTAGAGCACTACCTGAGCTGCCACTTGGGCAGTGCCTTAGTTAGGGTCCCAAAAGTACTTTTCACGTAAAAGCCCCATAGATCCAGATCTGCCTGGACGCTGCCTTTAAATTTACTGAGTTGGCTGCCTAAGTAATGTGTGTAAAAAATTTTCGTCTTTTTGGCTTCGGCCATACATTACCCTCTTATCAGCGTCACCCTTGCCCTATTATCAGTCTTACTATTATTACTAATACTACCAGTTTACTGCTCTTGAATAATGAAATGATAAACGCCACAGTTCCATTCATTCGAATGTTACCGATTGTTACGTGTTTTTTCATTGATTAGCGCGGGTAACACGGGTAACACTGCATCACTGGTAACACTG